GCCGTCTGTGCGAACACATCGAGCTATTTGTGCAGTTTTTTATGTATTTACAAAGAAATTTGTTCTTAAGCATATATAAATCTGGATTTTACAACATATTTGTAAATCAATGAACATGCATTTGTTGCCTCCATGAGAGGATTTTATTTGGACAATAGGTTTAGATTTAGGCACAAAAATACTTGGTTAAGTTTGCAAAAGAAGATTGTGCTTTTTTTTGTATTTTACACTAATAAGCTTGGGATAATGGCTGTGGAATTGTCATGGAGGTCACCTAACTATAACAAATAACTGTTGGACATAATAACCTGCTGGTACAAATAGTATATGTACAATAGGCTCAAACTGTAAATAAATGTAATTTGAAGTATTGTTGGAGTGCTAACAATATATTAGTTTGCACAACTTATGAGTTTATTGTATTAGTATTATTATGAAAAACTTTTAACTTTGGCCACAGAGCTGACATCATTTTTACTTTATTAAAAAACACTACATAGAATGGACATATACTGTGCACATGTACACATTAGTGTAGTATTTACAGTACACACATGCAGTATGTCTAAGAGTGGTTAAAATGTTAGCATCACTTAGTTTTTTTTCCCCATTTCATTCTATATTCTGAATATTTGAGTGGTTTGAACAGATGGGTTATAGCAGAAATTGCAATGTGGGATCAACGTTTCTTGAAATGACAATGATAGGACCAGTATGTTGGCCTGATTACCAAAGAGCTTACAGTGTGAGATGATTGTCAACTTTCATCATGGACAACTGTCCATTCAACAAAAAAGAGCCTTTAAATATTTTTGTCTTTCTTTTTTTATTTGTATGTCTTGAACTAAAACTTTACTCCTTCCCTCCTTGCTTCTTGCAGTGGACATACTGTACTGTAAAGCATCAGTACTGTCCCTATAGTAGATGTTCCCAGCTATAGGAAATAGAGATTAGAGGAATGCCAATATGTCCACACACACACACCAAAAAGACACCTGTTATTAAGATGCAACACACAATGACACAAATGCACTATAACCCGGCCTCTTTTTTTTTCTCCTGGAGAGAGTAAACAGTGGTGGAGCCAAAGCAGCCTGCTGAGTTTTTCCTGGTGAGAGATTGCTTGGTGTATCTGGCAGCAAAGAGCGAGTCAATGAGGGGATGTTCGGCAGAAGGATTGAGACTGGGTGGAGCTGGCAACACTGCTCTCTGACAGTGTGATAGGAGCTTGCTGGCAGCACTGAAACCCATAGTGAAGGCATCCAGGCTGATGAAGCTGAAACAGGAGAATTTCACTGTGCGTATGTGTGTTTGTGTGTGCATCCCTGGTATTACCCACACTGTGGGAACCACAATCTGTTTACACACACATACTGTGGGGCTTACCTCCCTTGTGGGAACCAGATACTGACCCCGCCATGTAAATCATTGAATTTTAGGGTATTTTATTTAGAATAGGGTAATCTTATGGTTAAATTGTGGTTAGAATTATAGAAATGAATGTAAGTCAGTGTAATTTCCTCTGAAGTGACAAACAGTACTCTATTTAAAAATAAAAGTGTGTTTATATA